TATTTAAAGTATCAAATTTAGTTCAGAAAAAATTTTATCATTAAAGCAAATTGAAGTTATTAAAGGACCGCTTCACCTCTCACTTCACGCTTGCTATGCAACCAAAACAACATAAGAGCCGTCCAAATCGCCGACCGAAAAATTGCGAACCATCCCTCTTATACCAAACAATTCAAATGTTGGCCACCAGGAGGCTCCCAATGCACAAACTCTCAAATGAAAGATTTGCCAGAGAAGATGCAGGAGAGGCAATGACTTTGCAAAACCTGTTGCATACTGGGATCTCAATGTTGGTTTCACGACGCGCAAACTGAAAGATGCAGAGATGCAAACTTCCAGCTACAATGAGGCGTCGAGAGTCTGCACAGAAGGTCATAAGTCTGATGGCCAATGGGTCCTCCTCTATAGCCACGTTGGAGGCGCAGTAGTGAGCATTTATACAAGCTGCCTGTCCGATACCGCACGCAGTAGATGTTGTCACGGACGTAGGGGCTGGAAGCCTACCATCGTTGCCGCCGTCAGCACATGCATCACTATTCCTGCTACCTCCATAAGATGCTGGAGAGAGGGTTTCACACTGGCGGCTACCGTAGTCGAGATCGAATAGCCTAGAAGTGCGCACCTTGTCGAGAGGACACAAAGTAACTAGATATGAATAAAGGAAGACATAAAAAAGTAAATGTAGTTATGAAAACCAAGATATTTTGGCCATTATTTTGGTCGCAATGGTCCATGGTCTGACGCTAAGAAGTATCTTAAATAGTATGACAGAGGACTTGGGACAAGGTGCATCCAACTATGTCTGCCTAACAAAACGTTCAAGTTACGAAAACAAAATTGAAAAGATTAATCAGACTTGTTTTGAATGAACTATTGGTAGTTTAACAAACACCAAACATTCGATTAAATTGCCAAAAAATTTTTGAAAAGGTCTTTGAAAAGTGTAGCATGGCAAGTGCTTAAATAAATCTTGCAATGAGAAAAGCAACTAATCTGGAAAAATCAACTAATATTTTAAAAAAGATATAGAACCATTGCTAATTAATGTCGGTGGCAAGTGGAAGGGATTCGAAGGTTGATCTCATCGGAAGTCAAAGTTGTAATGCCTGGGAGCTGTGATTGATTATTCACCAAACACCTGTCCGTCAAATGATGTATAAAAGCTCAACGAGGATTAATTGGGGTCACGAGACGGTAAGCCAAGGACGCATTTGCATATATCTAAAGTTACAAATTCAGAGCAAACCCTCTTAGGCTTCTAAAGAGAACAACATACAAATCCCATCGACTCGCCTCTTAAAGCGAAGTGAAATTAAATCCATAATCAACCTAGTAAGGGATACTTCGAAAACCAGTATTTCTACATAACCAGTTAATTCTGATTATAGATACTAAAATAGCCCTAAAAAGCAATTTGATTGCTTACGATAAGGAGCACAATTGAACTTCAAAGTCATAGTTTCAATTATTGTTGAACAGATTTCCATTTGGAGCGAAAGAAATAAAGAGACTCTGAGATAGATCCAACCAGAAAACGAATCTGGATTACTCTAGGCCAGCCATCCTGCGGCTTTCTTGAAAATTCTGGATGATGCAATACCTAAAGAAATCTCTTTCGATTAGGATGAAAACTTGCTAAGCTTTGATGTGTCATATGAGAGATGTCACAAAGACAAGATGTCATACAGCTTATTCAAGCTAGCGAGCTAAATCAACTAGTGTTGTTAACTTGTTAGCCTGAATTTGTTGCCGAAATTGTAACCTGTAATTGTAACGACCGTCAGAAGTCACTTAGGAGTAACATTTTTCGTTTAAATTGAAGGAGGTTGACTCAGGAGTAGCATCTATTAGAATGCTTCAGTAAAGCCTACTAACAACTGGTCAAAAGAATTCCACCGTCATCTTCTGGTTTGATCGATTTTCAAACATCCTAAATATACTTCCTCTCGCAATGGAAGTAAGTTAGCGATTGTAAGCCGAGAGCTTCCACAAAATCCAGTTTTCTTCATATATGCTACTTTTAATCAATCAACTAGTGAGACTGTCTAGGCGGTAAGTGGGCGAAAATAGGGTCATTATCTAGATTACGTAGAAATGCTTCGATTTGTAATTTCAAATATAGAAAGTAAAATCCAAAACTCATGTCACAGGGAGGGAACGAGAAACAGAAACAGTTATCGACTGTATGCTAACTATTCGCATCAAAAAACGATAGATGATGTAGGTTGTTAAGATAAATCTATTCCATTTATAAAAATTAATCTTAATCTAGACTGATGGAGCTCATAAAGACTG